GGATTTCTCAGGACTCCTGAAGACTCCCGTGGGACTTTGAGGATTCTGAGGACTTTCGTTGGACTCCCGCAGGACTCGAAAGCTCCACAGAAGTCCCACGGGAGTCTTCAGGAGTCCTGAGAAATCCCTTGAAAGTCCCCACCTGACTCTTACAGGATCCTGCAGGATCCCGTGACAGGAGTCCCGTGGGAGTTTTGCCTGGAGTCTCGACTAGGGTAGCTAATAGGTATAAAAACTTGTCAGCGTTGCTTCTGTGAAGCAAAAATGTGAAAACTTCCAAGTGAACTTCGTGCACCTAATCAGAATATATATAATTGTAAACGCATTTTTAAGATGCTATTAACGCAAAAATTTAAGATGTAAACAAAATCGGATTTTAAACTGCCTCAACTCGTACCTAAACTTTATACTTCAAACTTCCATTTCCTTCGAAAATCGACATGTCCTTGGAAGTTTTCACAATAAAGATACGAACGGCGTCATCTGTTGGAAGATTTGGTAGATTAAGATACTTTCGGTGTTACCGATTGTGCAATTGGGCGACATCTACATAAGTAGAAATCAATTAAAATTTGACCAACGTCAGAGTTAGAGAAGTTAAAAAGGTATCTTTTTCGATTTTGCTATTGGACTGCATACTAGAGAAAATTTTCCATAGAATTCTATTCGTTATTTTACATGAAAACAGTTGGGATTTCCGACATGGTGTCTATATATGAAAAAAAAGATTGCTCTTTCAACAGAACCATCAAAGAAATTAGCTGTGTTTATCTTTTATATTAAATCTTAAAAAAAAATAGATCATGGATGAATTTTATAAAGTCGACGTTGGTGTTGCACAATTTACAATTCCCGCTCGATATCAGGACTTACGACCTGTTGGAACCGGTGCTTGTAGGTATCTTTTGTAAAATTTCTCTCTAAGAAGAGAAGACTTGAAGTTTCTGCTCCGAAATATAGGTCTTGATTGTCTTCTTCCTTGATTTAATCATCCTCTTCTGAGCGCACGGGTAATACGACATACGGACATCACATGACTGAAAAATGAGAAAAGTCAAACTCTTTAATTCGTCTATGTTTGCGTTTATTAACGTTTCAACTGTAACTGATACGTCCAGTGTGCAGAAATTTCACGTTTTGACTACAGGATCGCTGAAAAGGTTTGTTTAGCTAAATGTAAGTAGTTTCTATCTTGCCATCATTATTATCACTCACCCAACATTTGAATTAATTAATTCATACTCTATTGTAATATCTTAGATGGGAGCGTTGCACATGCGAGAGATGTTTTACTCGATCGGGAAGTTGCAATTAAGAAAATGTTGAAACCATTTCAAAGTGACATACATGCAAAAAGAACTTATCGTGAATTAAAACTCTTGATACATTTAAACAACGAAGATGCACAAGTGATTATTTTATTATAAACTTTAATGAATGTACACATGTTTCTTTTTGTTTTATAAAATAGGTTGTACAGTTACTCGATGTATTCACACCTGATCGAGATGAAGAAACATTTAATAGTCTGTAAGTGGATTTTTTCTTTTTTCTTGTGCTTGAAAAAAAGTTCGTTGTTTTTCTTTACAGTTATTTTGTATTAAATTATGTTCCATTTGACTTGAGTCGTGTGATTAAACGAAATATTACATTTGCTGAAGATCATATACGAATACTTATTTATGCAATGTTGAGGGGCTTAAAATTTATCCATTCAGCAGGTATGCTTTGTTCATCCGTTTCACCAAATAGTTGAAAATATTACTTTTAATTTTAGGTGTTATCCACAGAGTAGGTTTATTTAGTCAAATTCTTAGAAAATATTAATCTCCTATGGTTTTATTTATTCTTTTAGGATTTGAAACCAAGTAATATTGGAATTGATAGCGATTCAAATCTATGGGTAAAGCTATTTATGTTAATTGAGATGTTGTGCGTTTATTTGAACTTTTTTTATTAGATTCTCGATTTTGGATTAGCACGCGTTGCACAACCTACTCCTGGAATTCTCACTGGGTAATTAGTTTTAAAAGTGATTCACCGAATTCATCTATATCATTTTGTTGTTTATTCATTCAGATATGTAGCAACAAGATGGTGGAGAGCACCAGAAATAATGTGAGTTTTTCTGAATTTCTTACATTTTTGGAAGTGAAACTTGCATTTACAAACATAGACGATCCCCACAGGTGAAAGCTTTAAATTTTAGTGTATAATCTTCGAAGTTGTTTCGAGATAACTGTCAAATAGTAACTTTCTTACGTTTGACATTTTTGTGGTAGAAGCTGAAAGAGAATTTCCTCTATAGTTTATTTCACGATTTTTAATGTTCGTTAACAGAATCGAGAGTAAACTATTGATTTCTGTCTTAGGTATAATTGGGAGAAATATGATCCTAAGGCGGATTTATGGTCAGGTAAGGAATTATTGCTGGAAAAATCGTTCCTAATAGTTAATGATTGCTCTTATTTCATTCATCATAGTTGGATGTATTATGGCCGAGTTAGTTTTGTTAAAACCATTGTTTGCTGGAAAAGATCACGTTGAACAATTAGATAAAATCTTGTGTATTGTCGGTACGCCAAGTGAACATAAACTTGCTGAAATATGCGAACCTTATGTATGTATTTGAAACCTCTTTGTGTAGTAAACGTTCTATCTTGAATTAAAATTTTGTTAATTTATTGAAAGGCACGTGATTATATAAGAAATATGGGTAAGAGAACAAAACAAGATTTTCAAAAACTATTTGGAACAAAAAGAGGACCAAATGGTGAAATTACAGGTGGCTTATCACCCGAAGGTAAATGAGACAAGCAAAAATGGCATGTTTTTTTATCATGACTGTTTACTACTTTTAGGTATTGCGTTTCTCGAACATTTGTTAGAATTTGATCCAAGAGATCGGCCAAGTGCCGAAGAAGCATTGGGTAAGTTCTGTTCTTTCACTATGCGGATGCTTGACTTTATATAAAATCTCTTGTAGCACATCCATACTTATCACACTTACACGAACCCATGGATGAGCCTACTGCAGCACCATTAAACGATCAACATCAAGATGCAACTTATGTAGTAGCTAAATGGAAATGTAAGTAATTAACTTCTCCATCAAATTTCAGTTAATTTTTCTCAGGGTTTGCCTACGAAGGATAGAATGCACAAGCAAAAATTCATTGAAAATTTTTTTTTCTTGTCGAAGTCGTTCAGTATTCTAAGTGCCTAGCATAGCTTTGACTACAATTCGTAAAATTCTAGAAAGGTAAAGTCTGTCATAGATAAAAACTAAAATTAAAGATCGGAGACAATTAGATTTGATAGGGAATTCTAGTCATGTCTAATTCCAAAATAATTCTGGAGTTAAGGAATGGGAGCTGACACATCAAGCGTAGTATGATGCATAAACTCTCAGTTAGCATGAGCAATTCCATAAGAAATAAAGAACTCTAAGAGACATATTTTTGTAGAATTCTTTAATTTGCTCAGTATATCACTTAAACGGCATTGAGTGGCCCCTCAAATTTTGTATATGAAAAGTCTTATTTGGCTTACTTATCTGAAGGTTTTCTTTAGAGTTTTGAATTTTTGTTCTTTCTTAGATAATTCTTTCTAAGTACATGAATTATAAACTATATGAGAAATAGTTGATTTTTGAACCGGAAAAACTACATCTAAATGATGAATGAATTTTGTTAAAAAAATGTACTGTATAACAATGCATTTTGCTACCAGTTAGACGTATTCCTTCAACTCAAAGGCATACATCTCAATAAAATGACATGTTGCAACAAACGAAGGAAAAATTAAATTTGAACATAATTCTATTTATATTTATATATTAGATATAAATACAAAAACTGAATGTTCTTACAAACACTTTTCTCTACGATATTTACTATTATTAATTATTCTAATTTATTATTTCTATTACAGCAATAATATGGGAAACCGTGAAATCATTTGAAATTCCATCTTGGGTTACAAATGGACAACAAGGAGACGACGATGAAGAACAGTAGTACATCATATATATTTTGTAAGAAATAATTATCAATGTATTAGTCAATATAAAAGAGAATATATTGTACATATCTATGTTATTTTTATTTTGGTTTTTCGTAGATTTATTTATTATTTATCCTACTATTAAAATGACTTGTTGTGTTAATCCTTTGTTCGCTTTATTGCAACTACTTTGGTTTACACATCGTCGATCTGTCTGTTTCATGTATTTTCTATAATGTAACAATAATAACCTTTTTTATGTTTATTATTGTCCCGAGTTGTATGAGTGATGTTTTTTAATATTATTATTAGCTTTCTTTGATATATTTTATTATGCGAGTTTTGTTAATAACATATGAAAATAGTTTCTAATTGGTCTAATACAGTGGTACAATTAAAAAAAAAACGTTTTAGATTTTCGAAGATCAGCCGAGTGATAATACAAATTTGTTGTGATAGCGCTGTAATATCCGTTGTTAGAGTGATTTAACAAAAAAAAAGGAGCAGAAAGACTGATAGTGCATTATATACGAAAATTATTCATTTAAAGAATAAGAGTAAAAATTACATCTATTTTAACTGTTTACTAGTAATTAGAAAAGGAGCAAAATTATTTGACAAAAAAAAGTTGATAGCTTATTGAATTTTGTGCATAATTTTTTATCATTTTCATTTTGAAAAAATTTCTTAAACAAATAGCAGAAGAAACTAGACTATTTACTGTAACTCATATACGTTCGATTCAGAGAATACATAGACATAGATTAATCCAAAAGTAAATATATTTATCTCACGAATACAAATTTCTTAGATTACATTCTATTTGTCTGTTCTCCTTTCTATGCGGATATAGCAACACACTCGACCAGTAAATCAAGTTCTGACAACTCAATTTGACAGTGCTCATTTAATTTGTAATAAAAAACGGAATGTACAGTAATGTCAAAAAAAAAACACTTGAATCTATTTGAATTCTCTCATCTGGATTTATATCCATCTAAATCAAGACTAAATCGAGCTGAGATGTATATGTGAACGTGCCTTTAAGAAACTACTTTCACTTCGTCCTCGAAATATTTCTCCTATTCGTTGTTTATCTATAAATCAATTTCTAACTTAGATTCATTCTATCCCCATTAAGCGGTAGTTATACCAGTGGTTTGATAAACACTGCACGCACTATTAAATGAAAGTGTAGTATGTCATCAAAATACTGTCTTTTGAATGAAGAAAAATTTAAAGTCATTGAGACAAAAGAGCAATTTGATTAAGTTCTGAAAAATGTATTGACAATAAATATGAGTATTTGTTCAGATTGTTGAGACTAGCGATAGTAAAAAGTAAAGGTAGAAATATCTGTTATTTCTACTGAATCACACTGTGCAGAAGTATTTAATAAAGTATGAGCATAGATGCTGATGCCAGTTTATATGGCATTATATACAAGTTTCAAAATTTTAACAATCGTTGCCAATTCATCATTATCAGAATAACAAAATGGGGTTCAAGTTTTTGTTACTTTGGTTTTGCCATAATATGTTCAGGTGGTGTAATCTAAATTATACCAGATTAACAACAGAGAAGAGACTAAGTTTGTTCTTACCAAATGACGTTCAATTCCCATCTTTTCTGCCATTTCCAATAATCTTCTTGTGCTGAGCAATAGAGAACCATAATTTCGTTCATACTCCTTTGGATTTGCTTTTCTTACACTTATTGTGTATCTTCGAATTATTTTCGTCGGTTGTGGTTCATACAATACAATTAAATTCCTTGGTTTAGATTCATTGACTTCTTCTTTCTCAACAATTATTCGACGCGTTTGGTTTGGATAGGGAAGATAACGCTCAATGATGATAGTTTGAATTGGCTCTGCAGACCGACTTGGTTTATCTGTTTAAGACAGAAATGCAAAGAAATCGAGAGATATGATGAATATGATTTCAATTTGAAATTCATCCTTTCTAACTATTATAAATGCTATTTCTGTGACTTCGTTGAAATTCTTCATAATTTTACCTGGCATTTTGTATTGTAGTTGATCTTTGATAAACAGATCACGTATGCAGAAAAGTAGTTTGTTATGGTTTTTGTCAATTAAAATCACAAAGAGAGTAAGACACACTTTTCCGACAAAAAATCAATGTATACAGAAAACTCGTCAAAGGTTTATGACTCTTGCTGTTTTTTTCTACAGATGTTCTTTATGTCCGATAAATGAAGCAGATCTGTGTTAATGAATGTAATTTCAACCGTGCTGATTCATTTTTTCAATTATATGCACCTGTATAGACCAATTAATTGCAAGCGTAGATATCTATTACGTCAATAGATCATGAGTCTGACAAAAGTGAAAGGTGCACTGTTTTTTGTTTATAGGCAGAGTTTTGAGATGCTTAGAGCTGTGAGAAGGGCGTCAACATAAATGAGATCAGTAAACAGTAACCTTTCACTCGCAAAGTAGTTGAAAACAAAACTCAACGCTTCTTTCTATAACTAGTATCACTTTTATCCACATACAAATAAATATTTTTGTTTCATAATAACTCCAAATGTCGACACATTTATCAACAAATAATCTAACCTGAAATGTCACTTACAAAACTTGTACCTTCCCTGGTCAACTTTTTTGTGCGGATATGAGATGATTTGTCAGAAGCTTTACAAATCATTATCGTTGAAACAGTTAAAAGTTATTTCTCATGTACCTAGATTTGTAGAGCTACCATTTCTCTTCAAATAAGATGCACCGCCATTGTGTGTATTGTCGCGGAAGAGAATCTGGAGCATTTTCTTACAAATCTTAAAATGCACAAATGAACGAACAGCTGTTTGTTCCTTTAATGATGCACGTGCTGTGGTTGTTTGGGACAGTTTATTTTCTCTAACAGTTCAGCGCTTTTTATCAGAAACGTATTCCAAAGTGCAACGGGAGCAAATTCAAAAAATCGCTCTCGTCAAGATGTATCTAGATACTTTGAGATCTAGACATGGCCTTGAATAGTTTTATTTGAATTAATTGAAAAGTATAAAACAATTTTTCTCCGATTTTCTCATACATACGTCTGGTACAATCGTTTACTTGTACTTTTATTACAATATCATTGCTTTTTTGAACTACGTATCAAGCCTAAAAATTCTTTTTTGTCTTATGTCATATATTGTCATATATTTATAATAATCGATCTCCAATTACTAATAACTTCAGACGAACGAAACTTTATAACAATGTGTTCAAAAAAAAAGTTAGTCTCATACTGAATTGCTTGAAATCGCCTTTTTTGTATGCGGAAACCCATCGTCTATCTGATATCTTTTTTTCTCGCATAATTATTTCAACAAAAAAAGAAAAATAGATAGATTATTCATAACATCAAATGTATGATTTTCATGCACGTTTGTTTATACACAAGTTGATTTTACACATGTTCAAAGAACAGACTAACTAAAAAAAGCAGCGATAGACAAAAATATCAAGAGAACAAGTGAACAACACTAACAACAAAGAAAAATGTTAGAAGTTTTATTTCCTCTTTACTGCTATTTATTCTTCAATCCTATTTAGTTGTTTCTTACTATCGTTGTCGTCTTCATGATGCATAATGATGAAAAATGCAACAATAAAGTCATGTGAGAAAACACTCTACACAATTTATGCGCTGATTGAAATTGTTCGCACAAAGATGCGAAATAAATGAACAAGAAAAAATTGCCTAGTGGAAAAACTATGCGAGTATATGAGGCAGATAAGCTGAAATAGTGGAAAGTTTGTATCGATACACAAGCAAAGATAAAGAGAAAGACGTAACCGAGGAGAGTACTGACAGAAGTTGTTATTTACTATTATATTTGAGCAGAGAAGAGGAGGAATGGAGATGAAGAAATAGTACAAGTGAGACTCGTTTTTGACTGCATTCTTTGCATAAAAAATATCCGATTAGAAAAACTCTAGGACAGCTGAAAAATAAACGATCTCACTGTTGATTTCCAATGAAACGAGGAACATTTCGAAAGAGAACGGCTCAAGACTCGCATCACCGTCGGTAAGAAAAAGAGAGAAAGAGAAGTTGAGAACTGACTTATAGTCATCTAACTCATTCTAATAAACAAAGACGAATCGCATATAATAAACTCAGTCTTTTTGAAAAATAGATATTTTCCAAAAAAAGAACCGTTTTATTAACGAGTATGCATTGTAATTTTAAAGAATACACACTGACATTTAAAGAATACGAAAAAGATAAAGAAATAAGAGACAAGTTAATAAAAAACAAACGAATGAATAAAAGCAAAACCAGAGCGATTTTCATTCACATAAAACAAGAAATGACAAAAACAATTTATATATATATATATATAATAATTATAAGGCTAACAACAACAATATCAGGAGGCTGAAAGAATGCTTTGTGTTCTCTTTTATTTTTTTGTAAACAAACTTTAAATGAACTCGTCGAACAATGTTCATTATTCTTCATCATCCGACTGTGCTTGTCCCGATAATTCATCTTCCTCTTGTGTTGTATCATCAATATTTCGTAATACAATTTCACCTTCATAATTGTAAAAATGAAAATCACTAGTTGCCATATCAATTGCCCATCGAAATTTATCACGTTGTGTTTTGGAATAGATTTTTTCAATTGGTACATTCCATTTCTTACACCTTTTGAAAGAGAAAAAAACATTATGTAACTAATTTATAAGATTGATAATACCTACTTACCATCCTACACTAATACGTGGATCAAGATAATTCAATTTAGAAGTACCAAGTGCAATATCTTTATTTTCTTCACGATCAAGTGCTTGAACTTCTAATTTTTTCAATGCTTCGTCAGAACGTTGAACTTTCTTTTCAGCTTGTTCCAATCTCCTATTAAATAAAACAAATTTTTCATAATAATATTTTGACTCTTACTGAGAAGACAGACATACTACTATACAAGACTAATACTCTCGGAAAAGGTACGAACCGACTACTACTTAATATTTTGAAGAAATAAGTTATAGATAAAAGAAATCTATCGTCTGACGTACTTCTGAGATGCTTGATTTTGTGTATTTTTATAATCAGATTTTGCACGTTTATATTCTGTTTTCAGTTCATTAATTTCGGTTTTTTTTGCATCAATCTAAAATAATACAATATACTGATTCTGCTATTCAATCCAGATAATGGGTGGTATAGCTTACTTTGGCTTTTAATGTCTCCATACTTTTTTCGAATGTTTTTGGTATAGAACGTTGATGATTACACAATATGGCAACTTGACGATTCCCTCGGTTATAAGCAAGCATTTTTTCTGGTACTGATGCTTTTGGCTCAGTTAAGTTATCTAATTGATCTTGCAATGTTTTCGATGCATTGTATGTACGAAATACTTTTGCCGTCAAACCTTCCATTAATTCACTTAAATATTGATTTAAAATTGTTGTCTAAATAAATAAAAGTTTCTTTATTTTTTACCACGTGAACAAGAGAAAAAAATAGAAGCGCACCTACCGTTAAACGATCAAATAACTCATCATTTCCTTCTTTATTTTCAATGAATAATTTTACATTTTTATAAACACGTGGTTCAACTGACACTTTATTATTATATCTACAGATAGAGAAGAACAAAACTAACAAAGCAACTCGAATAATGGTGAGAACAAACAATACCTCATGCTATCTTTGCCCAAGAAATCAAATTCAACGACATTATCTCCAATACCATCGACATGATCATGCAACGTTATGTGTTCAACTCGAAGCGAACAACAGCCAACTGTGTCAGCCTCATCGTCATCTTTTTCATTACCCGCTCGAAGTGCAAGCTAAAATATACAACGAGGTATAGATATCCTTCTTCCAGTAAGATTAATCAAGATGAGAAGTTATCAAATACTAAGTCACTTCGTGAGACTTAAAACTGTTTGGGCTAAAGTAGGTGTATACCCTTCACAAAAAATAAGTATGGAATTTACAATCTCTCGTCTTCTTTAATGACTTCTTATTAAGGGCCATCTCACGCTTTTTTTGACTTTCAATAGCTGAGAGAGATAGAGGTGACTTATCCTTACTTTGTCAATAAAATATAATGCCACAGCACGTTGACGAATACGCATTTCTTTACTTTTCCAATCTGCTTGATAATTTGCTCGTATTTTATCAATCACGCGATGTAGTTTTCTTGCTTTCTCATATTTTTGCCAATCACGCTCGCCCTACAATAGTCGATAACAAAAAAGTGAGGATTAAAAAATAGAATACGACTTACTTTAACTCGAGACGATGCATTTAACATGACATATTTATTATTCCCACGAATATTTTCTGTCCACATCACAAGCCACGAAACCTTATTGTCGTGTCTCACTTCTTTCCAACGATGACCTTCGGGTGGTTTTGGTACGGCTGAATCTTTTCCGCAATTGATAATAACATCTTCTGGCATAATACGCTTTTTAACGCTACCCATTTTTGGATGTTCACCACGTCCGCGAAATAGACCCGGTGGCTCAATTTTATAATTGCCAATAGGTTGACGATGTTTATCCCACATACAAAATCCATATGTAGTACGTAGTTTCTCATTTTCTTCTTTGATTACTTTTTTATCTTCTTTTGTCATAGCTTTTCGTTGCTCTGTTAGTTCTTTAAAATACTGACACACCTGTGTAAAATCACATTTTCGAATATCTTTAATCAATTCACGTTCGGCTGGTGTCATTGACTTTCTCCAATCGGTCATAAAATTTGTGTTAAACGCTTGCTTTTTTGTATAATCATGATCTAACATTTTTGCATAAAATGTCATGATTTCTTCAGCTGGTTCACTTAATTTCACATGAGTTGCTATAGAAAGAAACAGAAATAATATTCAACTTTTCTCCTCTAAATACACAGGCAAAACATCATTCATACTGTTACGGAAAGCAACAGAAGAAATACTTGTGCACATTTTACTTCCACCGGCAACTCAAAGGGATTAGCGTCACTCGAGATCGCTGGATCGGATGAATAATACATCCAACCTACCATTATAAGAAAATTTAATATTATTCGGTAATGGTTCATACGGTGGTGCAAAGACCGGTCCTCGATGATCAAGCGTTGTCCATTTTCGTCCATCTGTATATTTTTCTTCTTCCCACCTTCAAGAAAGAAGAACAGTGAATAACAAATCAAACAGACAAAAATGTTCTCACCATCTCCAAATATCTTCTTCTTCTTTTATTTTTCGTTTTCCACCTGTTTGTGGTGTTGATGCTTTTTGCGCTGAAGATGATGATGTGGGTGTTTTCCGAGATGTTGTTGTGGATGATTTTCGTGATGTTGAAGATGTCTTTTGACTTGAAGGCGTTTTACCTTTCTCAGGAGTCGCTTTTTCAATTTTGACTGGTTTTTGAGCCTTTTCTGCTTGTTTTATCTTTTTCGACTAAATAGAAAAAAAAACTGTTTGTTCTACCCGAATAGTGGGACGCATATTACAATAGGGTTCCAAAACCTTTAATAGAAATGTTTTTTTAATTGAACATTAAACGCAGAGGGCTATCGTAGCTTAGTAGAAGCCTCAGAATCAGACAAATAGTGTGTCAGATGTCATATTGGTTTCCAAGTATTCTACTGATAAAAAAATGATGCTATTCTAAATCCCACTGGTTGTTCACATAGCCTGAACTTTTAACGCTGTTTAAGACATTATTCGCAAAGAGATTATCTTTAGCAGAAAAACTATAACGAACCATGCAACCAGTTTACTGTTTCGGAATGCATCGTAAGAAATAGTCGTATACTGATTCATACGACAATAATATGTAGTTTAACATAAAATTGCAAAATAGAAGCGTTTGTTCATGTTCAAACTTACCAATGGTACATCATCGTCGCTTTCAGCCACTGTGTTCTTCCTTTTTGGCGATGACACTGTAGGTTCTTTTTTCACAGAAACATTATTTTGAATTGGTGTTGAATTGGAAAGAGAAGATGATTTTGGCTCTTTAGGCTCAGTTTTGACAGTTGGTGTGGATTTTGGTTCTTTAGGTTCAGTTTTGACAATTGGTGTGGATTTTGGCGTTGAATTTGTTACCATTTTTTTAGCCTACGGTAAAATAGAGAAAAAAAAATAATATTTTACAAGTTCACCTCTTCATTTTCCTCTTATACACCGCGTGTAAAGCAATTTCTGTTAATACGGATTTTAGTCGGTCAATGGACTCAATTTCATGTAATGTACACATTTCATCTGCATGTTTAGAGCAATCAAATAAAATGTCAGAAATATATGAATGAAGACATGAAATTTATATCGGATTTAAGGTCTGTTTTTCCGAAATGCAACCAAAAATTCATTATAATATATTAAAACTTGAACTATTGAAAAACACAAAATAATTTCCGCTTACCAATGGTTTGTCATCGTCAGAATCTTCATCACTTTCAAGAACTTTTGTTTTTCTTTTTGGAGTAACTATCGGTTCTTTCTTTACAGAAACATTCTTTGGACTGGATGGTACAATTTTTTTTTCTGTTATTGTTTGTTTTGAGGATGGTACAATAGTACCATTCATTTTAACAGGAGAAGTTGGTGTTAATTTGACTGGGGATTTGGTGAGCGATGTGGAATTTGGAGTTTTGGCCACATGATTCAGAGTAGTTGGCGTTGATGATAGCTTCATTGGTGGAACTGATGATTTCGACGTCAAACCGCCATTAGAGGTACTAGATGGCTTAGATGAACTAATAGGTTTCATTGTTGAAACACTGTTTAAATTACTCATTAATCCGAATTACTCTGAAAGAGCGTAATTGTACTTGTAAGAAGAGCGCTTTGGACGACACCATGGATCTGAGAAAGCTTACCTATTATACAAGAGAGGTTTATTTAGGTTATCTATGGTATTCAAGAACTATCTTTCACAATAAGAAAGAATAAAATTTTTTTAGATTCTTGATTGTTTTTTGAACAACAATGGTAAATAAATGTGAACAATGAGAGAACTCCACTCTGCCTCCAAAGATATTTTGTTTTATGATAAGAACAGACTAGTTAGCTCAATGTATTATGGGCTTTAGCGCTGTTTAGGAAAGAGCAAACTCATTTGTTTTCTAAAGCTATGCGTGAGCCCCATAGATGGCGCCAGAATGAGGAAATTTGAGAGTATGTTTTGATGGAACCTACGAAATGGTTTCTTAATATAATAAAGGTGGGACAATGTTGAACCTGAATGTTCCACTTGTTGCTATGGTGAATAATCGATGTCTTACGAGTACGAATGAAGAAAGAGAAACTTTTGTTTTAATTGAATGAGAAATGAAAAGTAAAACTTATGCTTTTAGGTTTAAACGTGAAATTTAATTTTTCTGAAGACCACTCGTTTTTCTGCTAAAATAATTATTTTTCTTGAGACTTTTCACTAGATTTTCCTACCATTGCGTTTTTGATTTGTGTTATTATAAAGAATTTTCTGGTGGGCAAGTGTTTATAGATAGATGTACTATAAGCACAATTAATCTCATTTACGCGCGAATATCGAACAAAGATAACCAGTTCAGAAAAAACTATTATTCACAAGAGATAGACTAAAAAAAAGTAGTGTGATTCCACGAGGAAACACGTTTTATAAACGTTTTTTTATTCAGAAGCAAAAGAAAATATATAGATCATTTCGTTTTGATCGAGAACTTTTCTTTTCTTTGTCTCGCAAATTTTTAGAGCGAAGGACAGAGTTGAGAATCTCTATAAAAAGTTTCATAAACTTACGTGATTTGCATTCAATCTAGTTCAATTATCGAATTTATAACCTTTTACAAATAAAAAATAATAGTCTCTGAAGAACTAGGATATTTGTCTTGTTTCTGACAACTGTAATTCCTTTCTAATCAAAACTGATGGATATAATAATTAAACATTCGAGCGCTCTACTTTTCACTTAAAAATTAGCACGAATTGTTAAGTGCAATTATAATCAGAAGTGTAAATGGCAATGTTCAGTTGACGCCCAACCGTGTTTATATTTTTAACAGTTAGAGAGCCGTGTTGCTGCTTTATTAAAACATGAATTATATCAGAGCAATATTTACATGTTGTGCTCTTGATACAGAAATCAATTTAATCTGTGTAATAATTAACTTACTGGTTAAAAAGACAAAAATAGAGTTCTGTTGCTTTTCTTCTTCTAGTATCAGATATTAGAGAACTAAATGGAATTTTAAAAGTTTAAGCTTTATTCTTCTAGAATAATGGGTTTGCAGTAAATTTGCACTAAATTCAGAACACCACATGTAACGTGAATTAACTGTTAAATAGGTAATCTCAGTTATTTTTGCTATCAACTACAAATTCAAAAAATCATGATTTTATATCAGAGGAAAGCGTTGAAGCGAATGTCAAATGAAAAATATATATGAGAATTATTAATCCACATGTGCATTAATAAAAGATTGTCTACTCTTACAGATTGACTTCACTCAGCTACAAAATAAATTTTTTTCTTCTATTTTTTATTTCGCACAAAAAAGTCAAAGAAGAGCGCTTAATGACAGTACTAAAGAAAGAAAAAAGTTTGTATAATTAATGATTGTCAACTCTCATATTAATCTATTTTCTTTGATGAAATGATATTTTTGTTGATAATAAAGCTAGGAAGATATTCTGTTATTCAAACTACAGATTTTTTATGAGAAGTTCAAGAAATTCTTACCAATGTCTTTGTTTGCAGAATAAAGAATTTCTTTAATCGAGCGCAACGCCTGCTTATAGTAATATTTTGGATCAAGTGATTTGACTATCCAAGTAAGGTACGTCATATTCTTTAAAAAATCCAGTCTTTCTTTGACTGTTATAAAGAGTACCATGTCGGTTTCGCCAGCGTTTGTCTTTCTCGAACATTATATCACCATAAATGTTCCTTTAACATGGTTTTTAAGACAAAAAAAAAACAAATTCCATATAAATGATTATATTTACAGTAATGTCTTCTTTCGATAGATACTTATAGATATAAGTATTTTTTTTTAGCTGAAGTACTTTCTTTTGAGCAGATGCACAATTATGAGCTGAATGAAATAAGAGAAAATGTTAAGTAAAAAAAAGATGATTCCCGCTGTGTTGATCAAACAATAGACATATATGTTGGAGTCAGTTTTGAAATTCATTCAAGTTTGAAATGCTACTGAGTCGAACTAAAATTTCAAAAACGTCGACACAATATTAGAGTAATGTAATGACAGGAGTAAACCTCTTACAGTCGGAAAAAAGTATATCGTTTGTATATGACCATAACACATTTAGATCAAAATATGGAGAAAAAAACCAGCAGTTTTTTTAAAAATGCAGCTCATTTGACGTTTAACTGAAAATGCATGATATGAGGAATGATTTTTCCTTTTTTTGAGCGATTGAGATAAAAAAGTACGAATTGTTAGCTATGTGGCGGCAGAAATAATGAGTGAGTTATATGTTGAAGATAGTAAGATTTTAGTCTTAACTGAGACATATATACATGGATAAAAGACGATCATCTATGTTTATTATCTTTGTCATGCCAGACAAAAACGTCACTTTGAATTTTTGCAAACCTGTCAGTAGATATTACTTCTGCTTCTGACTGACTCACATAGAACATGGATGCCATCAACTCATCTAGGAAATTCTAGGCATTTTAAAAAATTTCAGTCAACATATTTCATCTAATGTAGTAAAATTCAGATTTGTCTGCATCGCAAATATTACCTTTATTTAATGTCTAAAACGAAATGAAATTTTGTCTTCTGTTTCATATTCATTCTATTCTATATTATTATGGAGGATAATTCAAATATATAACGAGACTCTTGACACACGCATTCAAGAGTCACGTTTACGCAAAACATCTTGAATATTTTATAAATACTCCTGGACTCCTCTTGAAATTGTGCAAGATACATTCATTATTTTGCTTAAGTATATGAGAATCATTGATTTGATAACAAATTTTCAAAGTTTTTCATCACATAAAAGTGATTCATTACTAACACGTCGGCCTAAATGGGAGCGCACTGTTTTCCTTTTTTGATGAGAACTGGTATTAGCGGATTTTTTCCGCAATTATTGACTTGGATAAGTATGGTTTGTACGATAATCTTTGCATGAGAAAGACTGTTTCCTTATTTAACGCATTTTCTTATTGTTCGCGTCTGCTTAATGGTTCGTACTTTGGATATGATTTTTTTTTCATCATAGTAAATTAGAATTTAACATAAAAACCCATGTCAAATTCGGATGGTCGAGTAGCTTAAACCTAGGACAGCATAGAGACTTCTTTCATTCTCCCTCTTACATTAATATAAGTATAATCTATAACTAATTTGAATGTAAATGCTTTGACGTGTGAACGATCTTAAAACATGTCATTGTCTTCTGCTTTAAGAGACAGAAAAAAAAGACTAATAATTAATGAAACAAAAAAACATATATATAAAAACTTATTTAATTCTTTTCAGATTATATTTGCTGTCCTGTTGTGCTTTTGTGTTTATTCCTCCTGTGTTTCTAGTAGAAAATCTGTCAAATTTTCTTTCGTTGATTAAATGGAAATCCGGTAGACACAATTGGTAAGTAAAGAATCTAATTTGCATATAACTATGTTTAGAAAAGTAACGAATCAAATATTACTAACAAGAGTAGTATTATGAGATAGCCAGAATATTGGTTAGTCGTACTGTGAATGAATTGCATAATCATTCTACCATTTGAGAAAAAAAAAGTCGAAAAAAACTAACGTTTGTACATTCGATACGGCTATATTGATTGTCTATCCGTATAATATTTCCGCCACACTTGATTACATGCTTTTCCAAAACATCATTACCATTTCAAACACATCAGATGATATAATAGTGAAGAATCAGAAATTTTTGTACTAAGTCAAGTTTTTAATGATTTTTTGATTACGGACGTTAACATTTGATAAACCGAATAAGTCAGTAAATGCGCCTACTGAAGATGAATCGATTGATATATAGTAAGTTGAGATTAGATCAACTCTTGATCAAGGTATTTTAATACCATCAGACGTTTTGTCTATATTTTCGAGTTTTTTGGACGTAATGAAATTATTGCTCATCTCCCTACAGCATGCTCTATAAAGGTATCAAGTTTAAACGTTTCACTGAGAAAATCCTATGTAATTTGAGTTCTATGAAAAACAAATTTGAAAATGTCGTCGGACAAAGTAGGTAAAAATGATGCATTTGAAATTCAAAGTCTTCCAATTTTCTCGGATTAGGACGTCGATAAAAAAAATTTTAATTTTAAAAGATATTCCATCATTGCTGTATCTTGTGTGGATGGGTAGTCCGAAACCTAAAGATCAAAGAGTGACTATAAAAACTCGATTTTAATGTCACTGGACAAACAACCGAAAATTATATGTGTGTAAGGCATTTCGAAAGTTTTGTGCATAAAATATTGTCTCAATGGAATTTTAATTAGATATTTCGATAATTTGGATTCACAGCTAAAAAACTGATATAATTTGCAAAGTAAACTTATTTGAATATTTATTTTAAAAAAAACAGATTGGATCGTGTTAAAATGATGCCTTTTTCGAATGTTTAAGCGTTTTCTTCGGACCGACGCATGATAAACACTTGATTTTTTCAATGTTGTATGTGCATTCAAAAACAAACAAAATAAATTGTTTTTTCATTGAATTCTGTTCAGTGGAATGGATTCTATAAGTAAAACATTGAGCAAACCCTATTTCTCTACAATGATTAGGCAATTCACTGTGGTATGATTATAATTATGAACTGGAAAATAGTAATGTACATAACGTACGAAGTGAAGTTATGTAAGGATGTCTATAGCTCAAAAATAACAATGAAATTACAGAGATTTCAATTTTATTTTGTCGATAACAACAGAACTGTTCTACAATTAAACACTTCGAAGCGAGTTGCACAGTGCATGTTTTTTCTCTTGTTCAGCAACAGTTAGATAGATGAATAAAAATCTTTTTGGAATCTGGAGTAAAAGTGATGATCTGTTTTTATTATGATACTTTGCTCTTGAAATTCAAAAATAACTTTCTTGCCAAGATTTTATCATGGACGATTTCTCACGGATTTATTTGCGTGTTTAATAACTTTGCGTTTTATTTTTTATGTGGTTGCATGAGTAAAAGATAGACTACTTTGATCATTTATTTATTTTTCCTAGATTTACATGTAAAATTTGTGTTTCGAGTAGAGTTCAAACTGTTATTAGCACAATGATAGTATGTTTTATCATTATTATAAAAAAAAAGAGACAGTTGCTTCTCATTATTATGATTTGGTATAAAAGAATCGCGTAATCCTCCATAGTTAATAACAGCATTTTATTCTTTTACTGAAGAATATAAGAAGTACACTGACACAGAAAAAAGAAAGCACTGATGTGTTGAAAATGTATCTATACATTTTCTGATTTCCTTTGGTTATAACAAAAAAGGGAATGCGTAAAAATTATTGTCCCGGTAAATATTTATGCTTCATTAACAGGATAAAACTAAAGTAGCTAACTTGTTTGTCCAACATGATAGAGTAAAAGATACATACATATAAACATTTTTGTAATCGTCTTATAGTGTATAAAATATTTGTTATCATCTTTGAGCTAGAACACATCGAGACTAATAATAATTATCTGTTATAATAGACAGAAAGTAGCAATTTCTTTTTTTGTTTTAGAGATTTTAACATTTAATCCGCTTTCATTTGCTAGTGTTTGCATTTGTCTATGTTTATAACTCGCCATTTGTACTAAATAGTAACTTTTTTTTTATATATATATGGTTAAATTAAATTGCTATATCGCTTGACAGATATTAATTATATACTAGTGCCTTCTAGTAACATAAAATAATCGATCTTCGCTTCATTCCTCTAAATGTAAACTGACATTATTATAAAACTGTTTTAAAAGGTGGATTGACGCGAAATTAGACTATCAAGATGAATTCACACCATCATAAGCGTTTTTTTTCACGATCGTCATATATGATAACGTATTATGTCTGTTCGAATACAAGGGATTTACTATCAAATATAATCGTTTACAGATTCTATCATTATAAAGTTAAATCGATTGTAGACGTATACGACAGTCATATTGTCCTAACACGACAAATATTTAACATTGATTTTCTTCTCGTTATAACTTTCGTACAACAACCTCATATGCAAACTTATTTTTCTTTTCAAAATCGATATCGCATAATAAATATATATATATATGTACGTCTTTTCGTTCTGACGTTTATATATTTTGTTGTATATACTGAAAAACAAAAAAGTCATTAATAATTACTGTACTTTACAATGAAGTTATCGTTGATTGATAAAACCTAAATGCTTGTACTTATTCTGCGAACAACTTTTTGCATAATATATGATACAATCAGACTTTCTTTATTCGTCGAACTATAAAAATGTTATAAATAAATAAGATGCTGTCTGTATATAACCTATTGTACGTTTCACCACATGATACTCTATAAAGATATTCAACGCTAATCAAATTTATTTATTATTATCTTTTTTCCAAACCTTCAGGTCAAATATTTCTTGTGAAAAACTGGTAAATCAATGTTCTCAGGCCAAAACAGGAAAAATCTGACGTTCTTCTTTTTGTCATGATAGAAGACCGTCTAACGTATAGAACGGTATAAAACTATTCATCTTCTCAATTTTAGATGAACACAGGACAGTATAACAGCAGCATAACATAATGAATTTATCCGATAAATATCAAGTGAATATTGACGATGTTCACTTAGATTTACTCGATATTGAACGTACACTTCAAACTTCATTTATCCGTGATACATTTGAACATTATGTCAATGGTATTTGCGGTGTTCTATTTTGTATACTGGGTATTATTAGTAATGCATTAAGTTTTTCTGTACTAATACGCCGTACAATGAAATTATCGACATATGTGTATTTAGCTGGATTATGTTTAAGTGATTTTACAGCATGCATATGTCTATTACCAATATGTTTACTTGATGCTTATCCAATATCGATATTTGAATATGAACTACCAAAGACCTATAGTATCTTAAGGTTTTTAATCATAACCGGTGTAATTAGTACAACAGCTAGAGCTGTCAGTGTTTGGTTATGTTTTGCATTTACTGTTGATAGATGGATTATGGTAATATTACCTTAATTTTAAAATCTGTTTAATCTTATTTTCTTCTTATGATCTAGATTTGTCAACCCTTCATTGGTCCTCAATATTGTACAATGAAAAATGCACGTTATGTTACGTTTTTTATTTATATACTCGGTTTATTATATGCGTTACCATTATTATTTGAATATGAACCGGTCGAAGTTGTCCTATTTGATATGGAAAAAAAATTTTATCGTCAACAATTAACAAAACTTGGAAGAAATGGAACATTTAGATGGATCTATGTTACAATAAATTCTTGTGGCGTATACATCATACCATTGATAACAATAGCTATTCTAAATAGACAATTGTTAACAGCTATACGTTTATTAGAAAAACGTTCAGAAGAAATTAAAGCACCACTGCCATCCAAACAAGGTAAATGGTCTATTCTAACATTTAAAAACAGAAAATGTTATAATTAAAGGTCATTCTTATAATAACATTTCTAATTTATATTGAATTATTTTTTTAATTAGGTGTTACAATCATGTTAATTGCCACAACGGTTTGTCTTGTTTTATTTCGTTTACCTTTATTATTATTATCAATTCTATGGTTAGTAAAAGCAAATTTATTTTTTGCTGATAAAACAAAACTACCTTTAAGACGATTTCATACAGTTGCGAATACGGCTGCTGTTTTTAATGCTGCAACAAGTTTTATACTCTTTATTGTTTATGGTACAAAATTTCGTTCAGAATTTACAAAAATTTATTGTTGTTGTTTTAATAAAAAGTCAAAATCAAAAATCAAAAATAATCGTCAATATAATGGAGTAGAACAAAAATTATTGCAAGATGGTCTAAATAATATGAATAACAACGGGAGAATAGTTTACTCTGGACGTAAACGAAATAGTAGTGGTGTTACGACCACATCAGTATTAAAACGAACATCAACAACTACAATGTCAACAACATCTATATCATCATGTAAAAAGTTTAGACGAAAACACAAACGTCGACTTACAGACGATAATAGCAATACTAATAATAATCATCAGGCTCACTATAACAAACCAATGAATGAAGATGCAAATAATCACACAAATAATAATCAGAATAAAAAATCAGAAATCAACTGTGATAAATGTGCTCAAAATCATGATTAACGATTATTTTTTAGCAAATAAAATATATATGAATGAACTATTGTGTATATTTGTTTGAAAATACTCTTATTTAGTCTAATAGAAGACTATGTGAATGGTAATTTACCTCTATTTAATTATTATCTATTATTAGCTATATAAACATTTATATTTCTCAACAATAGTTGTCAAAAAAATTCTTGTATATAAAATTTTCTATAACAGACTAGATGATGTGAGAGATAAAGAGTTATATAAATCTACCGGTTTAATAATCTACATTATATGCTCAATATAACTATCTCTTTTCTTTTTCTTTTTATATCGTCCTATAGATATTTATTGTATTCTCATAATATATCAGATAGCTATTTTTAATATTACAGAATGATGTTTTAGTTAAATTCATAGTATAATAGAAGTCAATAATTTCTTGTAAAACGATCCGGTTACTTATCTTTCGTTTAATCATTACGAAATTGATCTTTAACTGTTTGTCTTTTCTTTTTCTTTTTTTATGGAAATTGCTCAAAAAATGTTATTTTTTTGTAGAAAAAATCATCATTTTATTTTTGTTATGAAAAAAGAAATATGTATATATTTAAGAAAATACAGTTGAGCACAGATTTGATAGATAAAAATTTGTTAATTATTTCAATGTTAAAAAACTTCCAATTGGTATATTGTACCGTAGTAATCTTATGGGTTTGAATTTTCGATTATCTATATAAATTAAAAAAGAAATCTGATAAACGTTTTTTTAAGAATACTTTTTTTCGAAAATTTTCTGAAATACAATGACTCTATAATTTTTTCCAGTACTGTATGCTAGTAGAAAAGATTTAGTAATAGTACAAAATAAATGTTGTAAAATATCCGTTGGAAATATGATTCTTGTGAGCGTTGAAAATACTGAAATAAATTTTAGTTTTCATAGTGTTTCATGTACAATTGGTACAGTATTTTGAATGATCGAGTTTCACATACAGAAATAACTATGTACAAAACTGAAGTTTATCGAAACATTACTTAAATATAGAAATTGATATCTCATTTTGTACGTCATGTTTTTTGAAAGATAAATGTACAATTTTTGATGAAGAAAAATGAGAGTAATGAAAAATGTCTTGCACAAGATTAGACAATTAGTATCGCAAGACGCAACTGTCATTTTATCTTGTTGTTTTATCATCAATTTATTCAACAAATCGTATGTAAACTGCCTTACCCGCCAACAAATAATAGTATTGAATTATTAGCAGTTAATCTTTTACACGAAGACTGAAATATGCGTATATTTGAATATTACCTATAACTGTAGCATTTCTATAAATTACTTACATTTTTGTAAAGATCATCAAGCGATTTCATCCAGAAATTAGTTCTGTATGCTTTTGAGAAGGTAATGAGTGGAAGTGCTTGAGAACAGTTTGTTATTTGATTTTTAATATTTCTATACTTTAAAAATTGCTTGTGAACTATTTACTACATTTCGAACTTTTTAAACTCAATAATCTCGAAACCTTATCCGATGGTTTATTCATTTTTCTCTGCTAGTTTAATATTCTTAGTAAAAATCTTATGAAAAAATTTTCAATTATACAGGCTTTAACTCAAACTGATATCCTTGTAAAAACTAGCAAGAATATTGAACTTAAGAGAAAAATGAATAAATAATCGAATAAGGTTCCGAGATTATTGAGCTCAATAATACTCAATATGTACTTTAAAAATCAAATAACAAACTGTTCTCAAGTACTTATTTTAAACTTTCTTTTGTTTAAGAGAAAAGACATACATACAATCGAGGTTGATACTTATTATAAGCATTTCTGTCAGAAGAGAGGATAGAAAAAAACTTTTGAAAAATATTTTATAAAATATTTTTCTTCTGCATATATAAAAGAAAATTAAAAATAAAACTGTTCTTAAGAGCTGCCTTTACACTAGCTCCAAGCGGATGATTCGGTGGGGGGTTAATTGAGCGATTAGCGCCCCATTGTTATAAGCTTTATTCAGTAAAAAGGGAACAGGAAAAAGGATTACGTTAAAAATAAATATAAGAACAGCACAAAAAGAAAGAGGAAAAACCTATGACATCATTTTGTCTGTTCATGACGAAAAAAGTTGCTAGTGTACAATAACATTAAAGATAAACACACATACACACATATACACGTTACATCTGGCCGATAACAGACACAAAAAGGCGAAACGCAAACGAATCAGTAACATAGGCAAGATAAAAAAATAAAATAAAAAGATAGAAAGAAAATGATAGATAAGTGTACAAGAAAAAGGAGAGAGTGATGACCATTCTTTGATGTAGGTGGTAACTAGAAGATGTAGTTGATGATAGAAGATGTACAAATTTTAGAGTTATCTAGATTCTCAAATTGCTTCAAAAAGAGTAAGTTTGCAAGTCTAAAGGAGAGGGTAGAAGCTAAAGATGACCAGTCAGAAAGAAGTATATTTTGTTGATGCTGGTAGCGTGGACATTCCAACAGAAAATGTTTGACTGCACAAGTCGACAATCTTGAGATCATTTTCTGACGGAATCTTGATTTCAGTACTTTCTTCCTGAGAAAGCCATTTTTTTCAGATTTTCAGTCAGAATCTGATAGTGTGTAGTCATACGACCATGGCTCGTACAATCAAAAGCCAGTTGGGTACTCACCAATACACTTGAAATTAAAAAAGAGACTCATTTTTGCGGGACTTTTTCTAGTATATATTATAGCTGATATCAAGACTTTTTAGAATGTATATTCAGAGTTCTCTAGCCAAAAGCCGTCACTGAGATATCAGTGTTTTTCAAACAATCTCCTGATTCAGACCAGAATGGACTGATCTTGATTTCTTACCAAGAATCAGTGACCATGAATCTTGAAAAATTTTTCAGATCAGGTCATTCTAATCTGAATCTTATTATTGATTGTATAGGATCAGAATCTGATAAGATTGACCTGAAATCAAGATTCTGTCAGAAATGATCTCAAGATTGTTGTGTGGCTCCTCTTTTCCACAAGAACAGAACGGATGAGTGCTCAAACCTTTTTGGAAAAGATCATAATTTAATGGAGAGAAATTAACTCTCATTTGATTGAGAAGACAATCATACTTACGCTCACTGTACCTGAAACGTGGCGATTTATAATGTGGAGAAAAATCTTGAATTTTTATTCGAAAGTTTTTTAATTTTGGTATATTATGTAGTTCGATCGGCAATGAATTCCATTGTCTTGTAGCCCATGAAAAAAAATGTTTTTAAATTTTTCTGTGCATGTGCGAAACATGTTAATCTGGCCTGTCTCTTTCGAACGCAACAGCATAGCGACCACTGGCTGCTCTGGTATACGTTCAGATAGAAAAGTTGGCATGAGACCTTTTCTAAGCTCGAAGAAGAGAACAATTTTATTTATTGCATATATAGGCTCTAATGAAAGCCATCCCAAAATTTCAAGTACCTTTTTTCTCGATGATAACTGCATTGTTCCACTGACGATCAGACCTGCTTTATACTGTAAATCATAAATAGATTTTAGCTAGGATGGTACTGTATTAATGAAAGTTGTTTTTGAGTGAATCAGTTTCAAGAAAGAGTAAACCGTATCAGCATAAGTGATTACTGGAAATATGTATGACTTGAATATCTGATCCAGAGTGGATGTACTCATTACGTGTCTATGCCTGCGCATAAAATAAATTGTATAGTTTACATTTTTTTAATATATAACGAACGTGAACAGACCAGTCTAATGAATTTGTGAAAAAAACGTCAAGATGTTGATTTACATCAACAAAACGACGAAGAGAATTATCAAGGAAAAGAGAAGGAATACCTGTGGTTTTACCAAACAACATTGCTACACATTTTTTTGAAATGTCGTTATTATTGTGATACAAAGACGTGTCATCAGCAAATAATCATATTTTCAACTGTACTTGTAAACAAATATCATCAATAAAAAGAAGGCGCCCAATTCAAACGTATTAGCTAGCTTCAATACACTTAAGCTAGCTTTCTGAAGCACTTCGATCCAAAAGTTATCGCGTACAAAATAATCGGCTATGGAGAAGACGAATCTGCAATCGGTTTTGACTGAATAAGCTTTTAAAATTTTTCGATTTGGTGATATGTTTCTCTTCGAGATGTGTCCCGTCTATTGTAGTCGAAATATTTATATATTATTCTTACTTAAGCGACTGATGACGACTGAAAAGCGCTTCTTTCTCATCTGTTCGACCAGTGCCTTCTTATCCTATGTGCTAATTGTGCTATAGCACAGGGGCCCGGCTGACTCAGGGGTCCAATCGAACGGCTTAAGCCTTGCATTTTGTTATTATTAAAAAAAATACAAATTGATGTGTTGAAAACGTTAATGATCAGCACAGGGGCCACAAATTTCTTAAAACGGCTCTGTGTTCGTCATTCGAAAAACAAACAAACAAGTCTTGATTTGCTACTATTTGCCAAAATATCCGTCCAACAAGTGCAGGGTGTCCGAGTGTTTTTAATTAGGATGGGGAGATTTTTTATGACAGACAGATTTTTCTAAACAAGTGAAACATTTGCAAAATGAAAAGAACTTTTATTACTCCAAGGTAATAAAAGGTTAGACAAATTTTAGACAGAACAAAATTTCGAAAATCTGGCGGATAGTGCCGAAATTTAGAGTGGAGCTGTCCCCTACTTCCCCACCCTAATCGAAAACCCTGAACAAGTAGAAACAGTAGAAAAAAAACAATTAATTCACAAGAAACTGACAGATAATGCTCTTGTACATCTATCAACACAGTAATGATACGTATTTTCCCAATTAGGATACTAATTTCGAAGTCTCCATTATTCCCTAAAACGAAAAGATTTAAAAACTTAAATGCCAAAACATTGCCATATTTTTTACCTACAATGGAACAAGAATTCTTCCATATTCAGCTAAGTAAGATATAAGATTATAGGAAACGCATGTGGAACAGATAAGCTTCTCGTTTTGGTTAGATTCCGTGTTTCAACGAGAAGAAAAAAAAGTGAAGTTTTCATTTTTGTGGAAAAAACACAATCGTATTCTACAGTTAAATGCAAAAGTACGGCAATGGCAAGTTCAAGGTTATACCCTGACGTGATTTATCTATCTATTTATTTATTTATTTATTTATTTATTTACTTACAGTTAAAGAAGTACAAAAAGTAAATCGTTTTAAAACAGCTATAAAAGGTTGAAGAATTATATCATAAAGAACACATTTATTCAAGAACACTCTAAACATTATTTATAATTCACACTCGTAGATTTTGTTACGAATTTCATTGTAAAACATTTTCTTTTTTTTTTGTGTAAATATTTTGCGAAAGAGAAATGCACATTTAAGTTCAGAAAAAAAAGACAAATATTAACAATTTATAAAATTTTAATCGGTAGACAATAGTCAGTCATTTTTGAAAAGTGTAACTTAGTTATTCGATATGTCCAAAAGAAAACACAAACATAAACAACATGAACCTTCGGTTCATGAGGAGGAAGATAATTTATTTGGAAATACAGATATGAAATCTGTAGAGGTTTCGGGATACACAGTCGGTCACAATGCTCCACAAAAAAATAATTCTATGAGTGATCGTACCTTACCTACGGGCGCTGTGGACGTCGACGATCCAAAATTATACCATAGAAATAAATTATTATCGTCCAAATACGAAGGTGAAGTAAATTCTCACTTATCAAGTGAAAATAATTTCTTTCCAATAATCCATTCGACACATAGTCATCGACATTCGCGTCATCATGAATTAAATCCATTTCAACGTATATATGCAAAATTTCCGGCTAATCAAAATCTACCACCGATTAATGATTTTTACACATCGTCGTTGAATACTTCGTTTTCGCATAGACATCATCATTCTCCTCACATCCATTCTCATTCTCGTCATCGTCACAATCATTTTCATCATCATAATCATGATCAATATGCATACGATCCTAGATGGTGGTATTTACCGGTAGGTAGTGTTCATGGACCAAGACAACAATTTCACCACGTTTCGGAACAACCTTCTTTTGTTAATCCGAAATGGTACGAAGCAACTAGGACTCGTAATGATAGAACTGATAGTAATGGTTATCATCACGCACCCGTTAGGGAAGCCGATTGTCGGTGTTTGGTTTGTCTTCGTGAAAATAGGATGTTAAGAGATAGTTCGAAGTGGACGGTTCAATAGAATCGATTTTTAAATGTGTACAATTCTGAAATATTTTATAAAAGTATTACATTAAGAGGATCTTCTTCTAAGCTAGATGTTCAATTCGCCACCCATTGTATTTAGAGACAGACTGCTCTCAAAAGAAAAAGTGTTTTTTCCAGGTTTCGTGAGTATTTTAACCAAAACTTATGAAAAGGTTTAGTAAAAGGTTGCTCATGTTCACTAAACATTTTATCGATTCAAGACGAGTGCAGATTAAGAATTTTTTTTCACACTCTAAAAAATATCTGATTTATACCAATCGTCTTACTATTGCATTCGTCTTATTTATTTTGATCCGCCTTATTTTATGATGTTTGATTCTGCAGGTCGTTCTTTCATCTTACTTCTGTAAGTAACGAAGAAGTCATTCACCTCTTTTGTTTTGCGTTCGTCACTCGTATATAAAGAACAATGATTTCTTCGAAAGAACTTGTCAACTTATTTTGATTTTTTACCAAAAAGTATTGGTAGGCCATTATTTATGGTACTCTCTTGGTCCTGTACAACAGAACTATCCTTGAAAAATAAATTGCTAATAGAAATAAGACGAACTTTTCATTTCATCTTAAAATAAGATGGTACACTCGTCCAACTTAAAGTAAGGTGCTAAAATCAGCTTATTTGAACGTAAGATGCATAGGTCGGTTCGCGATTAGTCGGATTGAAACACCTTAAGGTAAGTCGTTGACGATCCATCTTATATTAAAATACTGCGAACCGACTTATGCATCTTATTTCCAGATGCTTTTTTTCAGAGTGCCTCGTCATTTAAGCAGACAATAAATCTCACAGTTCCTATAATTCACGAGCTTACCGAGGCAAAAATCATGAAAAGTCAAAATCAAATCAAACAATGCGACGAGAGCAAATATTTTTCATTCAGTAAATTATTTTGATCATTTCCGAAGAAATAACAAAAAACTTTTGGTATTAGAGTAATGATAAAAACTCATTTTTATCTTACAGCCTTTTGGGGGGAGGGGGGGGTATAACATAATAGAAAAGGAATACTTTACTATTACAATACTCTTAATTATCAAAATAAGAGCCCAGAATGAGATGACTTTTTATTAAGTTGACTGAGTAAAACGAAAAGAAGTTTATTGTTTTTCAACGGAAAAATTTGAAAAAGTGCTAGTTCGATTCATGGACGCCAGCTAAGATAAAACAAAAGAAGGAATTAAACCAATTTCGGGAAAAGAGGCACTTAAGGAAGGCATTTTTCCTACATGGGAAGACAAAATAAAACGTATTATTCGCCGTAATAATGTCATTGAGAAACTTACAGACACACGGATATGTATTTTTTTCTATAATATATTTCTGTTCTTCGTTTTCTTCTCCTATTATTATCGCAAAACGTAAAAAATTAACAAAAATATATTTTATTATATAGAAAAACAATAATTGATTAATACAAAAGTAGTTTTTTGACAAAATCTTGCTAAGGAGTCAGATAAAACTCGAAATTTTGGACTGTTTCTCTCATGACAAGACATTCGGCACTCGGAGCTTTATCCTCAACATAATTATAACAACACACTGTAAATAAAGAGGTGGATTTTTCAAAAAAAAAGCATCTAAGATGGCTTAGAGGCAACCTCATTTTTATATACAAAAATATTTCTATATAAAAAATACGCTACGTTACCTTACGGAGGCGTATATATTTTCATTTTATGCACTTATGATATTTCGTAAGGCAGTGTAAAAAAAGAATAAATATTTCTTCTCTCTGACCCAGACAAAAAAGAGTAAGCAAGGAAATCTAGCTTATAAAATAACTCAAGCGTCCGCTTAAGAGCACCCAATGAATTCTTTTAATAGCAAAAATTTCCTTTTAACATGTTAACGATTTTTTAACACATTTAATAGCATAGAAATAGTAATAAGTTCTTGCGCATTAATTGACTTCAAAAAGATTTCTAACGCATTTACATGCGTTAAATCTTATATACTAAAAGTGAACGAAAAAGTGCGCATCTATTAAAAGATCATTAATGTGTTAAAACGAATTAAAATGGATAATTAAATTCGTTAGTCTAGCGAAAAAACGCGTTTTACTCTCATATTAAATTATTTTAACGCATTAAGTACGTTAAAATGAAATTAAAGAATAAACGTTTTTTACGCGTTTTGATGATTTTTTACTTTTAATTTCTTATAAACTCAACTCTATTCAACGCATTAAGGATTTTAGTATATTCAAACGCATTAAAATTATTTAATTCATGAAAACACATTAAATTTTAATGCGTTTAACTGTATTTATAGATGACCATATCAAGAGATAGTATCAGTTTTTGGAAAAGTTTCTAGGTCTTCTAGAGTATGTCTGATTGAACAGAAACGATCACACTAAACCTAACTTTTTAAGAGAAATCCGATGGCATTGGCAGAAAAAAGTAAGAATATTTCCTTATATACTGGCATCATATTTGTTGTTAAAAAGTAGTAATGCGTTCACATAGATTAATTTTTAACTCCTGTGAACTCATTAGACAGCTCTTAAAATCTGGGAACGTATTAAATTCATGGAAAACAATTTTAATGCATTCGAATGCGTTAAACGATTTCACGCATTTTTTTGATATATAGTGATTTTTAAGGCGTGTGAACGCATCAAATTAGTTTGAATACATGTAACTCCATTAAACGTTCGAGAAATTCTTTTTATGCATTTGAACGTGTGAAAAAATTTAAAAAAGTTTAAATGCGTAGTTAATTAGGCATCTAAAGATGTCGATTTTTAAAAAATGTATTAGAAAAATTAAACAGTGAAGGCTCCTAAATGCAATAACTGTTAAGACGTGCGGTGTTAACATTTTTTTAACTTTTTATTGTTAAGCGTGTTCAAACTTATTAAAAGTGCTAAATGTAAATTTTATGCATTCAAAGAAAATTTTTGGTATTGAAAAAATTCATTCGAGAATATGATAGCTGCTTATAAAAATAATGCATCTAAATTTATTTTAAATACCCAGAAGTATCAGTAAATGGAACTGATGGGAAAAAAATGTACAGATTAGATCATTTCTATGCAATAAGAAAGAAGTTCTATAAATGGAAGTGTTGATTATACTGTAAACATTACATTCTTCCGTAGATATTTTATACTTCATTCTTTCATATGCCAATGATATTGATATTCCAGCTTCCCCACATGTTGGACGAACAGGTTGTTTTGAAGTTGATCTCGTTCTCGAACCCTCATTAAAGGTCACAGCACACAATAACTGAAGAGAAATCAAACTGAATAAGATGCCTGGCTTAAACTGGATTTATTGCACATTTCATTATTGATTTAAATTCATGTTTCTCTCAATGTTGTCGTATCAGAAAAGTCGGCGCATTTCACAATAAACGTACAAATTTACTCCTTCTTCTATTCATTAGGCAACATAAAAACCGTATAAGCCATGTTATGTAAAACTTATATCGGCTAAACATGTTGAAGTACTGAGAACATGTTATGAACTTATTCAGTGTGAACTGCTGTGAATTGTAAGTTGTTGTTTCGTAACGAGAAGAACTAAAACAAATTAGTTGAAAATATCATTTCTAGGTTTCATTACAATTATATAGTTAAGTTAATATCAATATCAATTCGATGTTGACTGAAAAAATATGTCTGATTAATAAAAGTTTATCTTGTAAATCAACGGCACTCTAAAATCATTGTTGAAATAGATGCTGGGTCTTTTTGCATAATGTATTGGATGAATTTCAACAGGCTAATTTACAATTATATGTATATTTTTTTGTTGACATATTCTTCGTGAACGATACAACAGAGAAATCAAACTATTAGAAAAGATTCATTTGACTTACGATAAGCTACGTCGAAATTTTGTCTAAGTTTCACGACGTCCGAGTCGTGCAGTGGCAACAGTCAAATGGTCACGTGTGAACTTTCTGTAATTTCACAAGCGAGAATTTCTTTTCACGTGTGCGCACACACCATTTTACGATGTTCATATGCTACCACAGTTCATTTCACGATAATCATGGGTGTACACGCCGTTTTATATACTAAAATTGCCTCATGCGATTTGTTCACTGAATAAACAGTTTTTGCTTTACAACACGGAAAAAGCGCTGACGTAACGATTTCAAAGCGATTAAATAGATGAAAAAACCGAAACTACATTCAATATAGTTTGTTAAACGTACAATTAATCTGATTATATTGTGTAATGGTGTAAGTTGAATTCCATTCGGTAATTTAATCCACCTATAGCTTCGGTACGCAATGGAGGGTATAGTTACTAGAACTGTTAGTAAAACTTCGAACAGTATCATAAAAGTTATCTGATAATTGTAACTGCTTCGGCGTTTTAGTCCATCTACAGCCTCGCGTTGTCTAGTCAGTACACCACGCAACGTCAAACACGCAAACAGTATTATGAATATTGGAAGAACTAACTCATGTATGTTAGTTATTATTCTTGGAAGCATGAGACTGTTTGTTGTACACATAGCATACAAGCCCATCGCTAGAGTCACATCGAAATTAAACAAGTGATATAACGACACAAGGAAGGACACAGCTGTCATAAGAAATGTCGAAACATACGACTTACGCAGATGCTGGCGCATAGTTTGTGTAAAAGTGGTCTCATTTCGTTGAAGCGTTAAATAATAGCGACTGATCGTTGCCAAAAGAAGAAATTTAAGTGATAAATGCATTGAAAACATGTGAAGAAACGAACGAAGTTTACAATGAATTTGATCTGCCAATGTTATATAATGTCTTTCAACCAAATGATTCGGATCAAACCAGCCGAGATTCACTGGAATGATCATCTTCCCAATCATTGCATTCACGTTTGTTAAGAAACGAAATAATGGAACATTATTTATTGTCAATAAATCACACACGGTTCCTGAAAGAATATAAATCGTACTTGGACACTTGCGCAGTGGTTTTTGCAGAAAAAATATTATTTTAATGACATTGCCTATGTTTCCAAATA